CCTTTAGCACAAAACGGCTGTCAACCACACAGTTTGACGATTTTAATCGACCATGGGATCGAATTTCGCTATTGTGAAGGAAGTATAGACCCTGAAAGTTATAAAAAGGATGAAATTTATGTCCAAACAAAGCAGGGAAAAGAGAGTTCCCAAAAACAAATCTTTTAAACTTTTTCAAATGGAAAACTCTTTCAAAAATTTACATGGAAACTTTGCACACATTTCAGACGTGATAAAAGGCATTACAAATACATTGAAAGGTGGGACGATACAATCAATAACTTATAATATACTTCTAAAATCAATCATACCTTGACTAAATCGTGTAACAGAGAGTATTTCATCATGTTGTCAAGTTTGATTTGATCGTTTTCCAGTATATCTTCTAACGATCCTTTGGGACAGTATTCTGTTACTATGCACCAATTTGGCGCATCGAGACAAGCACCAGTGAATCTGGAAAAGAATGGGATTATTTCAGAACAAGAAAATTTTAGATTTCTGGCAATACTAGGATTACCACATAAAATTCAGTCAGTCTAGTTTTGGTTCAAGAAAAAACGATTTAGTGAGCTTTTCTAAACCCTCTCATCCTTCCCACACCCTCTCCTCCTTGCCCGTTTCCTCAATACCCTGGCAAATTTAGCTCCGTATTTAGCTGAACACCCAACTCCTGTAAGATTTGCTTATGTTAATGTCCGAAGAAATTTCGGCAGCAAGTTTCTCATCTTCTAAAAAAACCCTCTATTTTTAACCTAACTACTGCACTTGCGTAATTTCGCACGCTGCAAAACTCATCACCGCTTATTTTTCTGGCTGCAATTTGTTTGTTCCTTCGGTAACATATAAATTAAAGAAATAAATGTTTTAAAAGGTTAGCATAACGAGTCCCTCCAATTTAACTTCGAAACATTGTAATATTGAAAAATTTTCGTATGCAATATGTAGCGAACATCATATGATTACCCCTTGCATAATAAATTAACATTGAAACAGAAAAAAATCAGAGAAATTGGGTATTGAGTGTTTTTTCTTAAAAACCATTAACTCTCATTTTGTGATAATCC